TCTTTGTTACTGGCTTCCTGTTGCCATGTGTAGGGTTTTAGTGTGGGTAAAATAAGATGCACTTATTTCCACACCAAAGCAAGTGACTGCATTAATTACAATTATTAAAACCAACCTTTGAATGATTCGTCCAGCGATATAATCTCAGAGTCAGCATAATAATTCTAATAAATTGTTTAACTCTTGGTGATCAGTCAAGAGTGTTTTATAAAGTTAAGGGAATTAACTTAGAGCTCAGGTAACTAAAGATCACATACGTAAAGTGACTGGATGTAAGCTATAGAAAACACAGGAAACAACTGTATACACACACACACACAACATTTATTACTAACTAAACAAACAAACAAATAACAACAACAAACATAGAATATAAAATACAAACAATGATGAAAATGCTGGTTGAGAATATGAATGTGAAAACCTGATGTGGAACAGAGTGGTGGTCTGGAGACTTAAAAATCTTTTCACCCGAAGCAGCAGATAATCTGTTAAATTTGGAATATTGGTCAGAAGGCCAATTGTAATCATAAAACACCCGTTTAGAGACAGAAGCTTGATACTTGCAGTTCCTTGGCGGGTGCAGCAGCGTCTGGGAGACGAGGCCTTCAGCTTGAGTTGGATCAGGGTGTGGCAGTTGGAGTCGCTACATTGGACCAAAGTGAGCAGCTCTACGGCAGTTTGAAGAAGCCGCCAGAGAAAAGTCTAGAGAAAGCCTGATGGAGAGAGCCACTGCTTTTCGGGTGAAGAGGCTTAATGGTACAACTACTGACCAATCAGAGCGAGCTCCGCTCCCAGAGGGGCTGTTAGATATGACACCCCAGCATCACCGGGAGGTCGTGAGGTGGTCAGAGTTCTGCTCTGAAAGTAACAATGTTCCTTCAGAACTATATGTACTTTCAATTATACAAAGTTAAGCTTGTTGGAAATGGAGGTGTCACATGTAGAGCTTCATGGGGAGTCTAAACATGATAAATCTGTCTCTGACGGTTACAGAGATAATACAATGCTTAGGATATGGTTATATAACAAGCTGATCAATTAAAGAAGGACTTATCCAACTGTAATTAAGCTTTGGAGTATTTATCAAGATATGATATATCATAACATTTAACGATTAAACTTAACACAAGATAATAAGAAGGCACATCTTCTGGTGCTGTGTCTTATTGTTCATCCATGACTTCAGTTGTTGAGTTGCTGCATGCCACAGGACATGAGGGGTCAGCAGAGCAATACGTTAAGGGACACTTCATTGCACCCGGCCATTTGGACCATCTGTTAAGGTCTGCATGGTTGAATGTTTTTCTTTGTCTTCCCCCAAAAGCTTCTACCAAAGTTAGATCCTCTGAAGCTCTGATAGGTGATGAGGGAATTCCTAAGGGATCTCTGCTTCCTCACTCCTCCGAGTCTGCAGAGCTGATTTACATGGACCTGTGACCTGCAGGACAGCTCCGTCTTTTTTATGGCATGTGACTGGATGCTGGAAAGTTTTTTCAATCCTTTTGGGCATCTGTGTCTGTCCATATCCTACACATGTTTTGATGAATTAATGGTTAGAGAGGTCAGGTTCTAGTCATCAATACACACACTAATGTCACCGAGGGAAGCATCCTGTGCAGGCATGTAGGACTTCCTAAAGACGGTGTGTTTTCATATCAGATTGAACACTGTTCAGCTGCTATCAGGAAGAGTGTAGCTGATGAACAAAAGCTCTCTAAACTGATACGTCATTTCCTTAAATTTAAAAAATAGATAAACAAATCCATAAACACAACAGCTTTAGGAATACATTTAAATGTACCGTCGGTGTTGTACATTAATATACATTCTAATGTATGTGCTTACGTCTGTCGAGGGGCCGTGTACTGACTGGTGGGGACATAAGAGTTGGAAATAAAACTAATCTTTAATTATCTCTAATTATAAATGACTACAAAGCCGCTTCTCCTGTTCTACTCTCTCAAAGTTAAACGGTTTGCAGTAAGGTGCCATTTACATGCACAGTGCTGCAACATACTGAGAGCAGTTGGTCTGGATCAGCTAACGGGTGACAGGAGCACAGAAGTCCTGTTGAATTAATGCAACTCAGATATCAATGGTTATTGATTAGTTAGACAGTTAACTTACACAGATTACAGCCTGAAGCAGTATGCAGGCCACCACATGTTCCCCCCATTCCTAATTATTCTAGTTTATCAGTTTGATGCTAATTGGAAGCCAAGGGCGTAGAACTCATTTCCAAATTAGTTCTTTCATTAACTTGTCGCCTTTCATTTACTCCGTGTGGTAGAAAGAAAATCACAGAGCTGCAGTAGTGATGAAAGTTTGCTGTACCTGCACTGTCCTGCTGTGACTAAATGAAAAGTAACCCAGAACAGAGTTGACTGACACCGCTGAACTCCCACTGCCCCTGGGAGCATAGATAACTAAATTGGCTCCTGTAGCTCCGGCTAAATGTGTATTATTCCATTATATCGGTCCTGTTCTTTTCTCTGTTGCCTGCTTTCTCCCTTTATCTGTTCTTCTGTGTTCCTCCTCCTCTTTGCTCTTTTATCTGTCTATCTGACTCAGGGGAAGGAACTGACCCTTACCTTACTCCTGCCTCCACTAATCCACTAACTACATGTGTCTGTGTGGGAGTGTGTGCGGCCGTGAATGTGGATGTAACCGCACAACCTTTTAACTGGGTGCAGGTCTGCTGCTTTCACTCCTTTGAACTGATAACTTTAGGTGTTTTCCTAACTTTTCCTGCATTGCTATCATGACATTTGTGGCATTGTATAAAAAGTCTCCACAGCTATGAGACAGAATGAAATCTGATTTCCTCCTCAGAATGAACTGCAACAATTCAGGCGACACAATGTTTTTGTTCATCTAAATCCATTATCAGATCAAAATGATACCTTTTCTGACTAAGAATG